AGATTGGTCCCTGCTACATGTTTTCCCCAATGTTCCAGCAGTTTAAGCTCTTGATGTCAAAAAGACAGATGCAGGATCCATATCCCTGCACTGGTTGTGAGGATGCCAAGAAGCAGTCAAGCATTTTACCCTTGCAAAGTGGGTCCAGCCCCACTGCAAGGGAGAATTTTTAGATTTCGCAGAGTTGGGCTTTAAGACTCCTTCAAAGCAGTCATCTATACAATTCTCCCCTCACTAATAACCCCTGGCTCTAGTGGGCATTGCTAGTGATAATGGGATTGATTTACTGAAGGCAAATATGCTGTTCACTTTGCAAGGGAATTACGCCTTAGCTTAGTGAATGTGGTGAAAATTCACTTTACAAAGAATACCCAATTACTTGCCTGGAAATTTAAAAAAAAACTGTATTTTTGCTTTCATGATTTCCTTGCAAAGTGAAAAAACTTTGTGCATTTAATAAAAACCCTAGTAAAAATCTCAAAGCTACCCCACTCACACTTTTTTCCAATGTGAGAACAGCTGTGGGGACAAGCTCAAGATGGTGCACCACCCCCAAATGTTCCTCATGCTTTGGTGTGCTAAGACCATTTTTCCCCCCATTTCTCTGTCTCTCCTATGTTTCTTCCAGGAGGGAGTGGGCGCTGCTGTTGAACCCTGAAACCGGTAGAGATCACAGGTGGCTATGCCATCTTAGTTAATGGGAGAGCATGCCTATTACAACTGCGCAGGAGCAGCTGCTGGACTCAGGGACTGACAGAGCACACAGGCAGCCACGCCAGCTGGTCCACTAAGACAGAGTGCCTATTATAACAAGCACTCTGCTCTATGTCCTTGGTCTGCTGACGTGGGGCCCAGGGGGGAGAGTGTGCCACCATCCTGCCATACAGGAGTTACGGTGACGCCAGAATCCGTGAGAGTTCCTAGTAGCTATGCCATTTCACTACACATAGCCGCTCAGACTGATTCTCATGGTCTGCAGCAGCTTGACTCACTGTGGTTATGACGGCCATCTCCATGTGTCAAAGACCACTGTCTACCAAAATAGATCACCTCCAGTTGGAAATCAGTCTTATAAGAAAGGAATTGGATTAATTCTGGGACCGCATTACCAAGGTTGAGCAAGGTGTTCCCTCTACGGAAGATAGATAGCAGGACCATGCGACTGATCTTCATACCCTTAAAATCAAGATCCGCTACTTAGATGCACAGGCTGAAGATGCAGAAAATCGCAATTACAAACATAACGTATGTGTTATGGGTCATTCAGGGGATTCAGAGATTTCAGACCCTACTACCTTCACATTTTGTAACATGTTACACCCATATTAAGGATGTAACATGTAACATGTTGTGATCGGACTGGCCCCCTCACCCCCATAATCCCCATTGTGACAGCTAATGGAGGATCTTCTCCTCCCTGCTAGCTGTCACAATTTTAAAAAAAGTTATTCCGTGAATGGGAAAACTACAAGTACGGGATGTACGAGCAAGCAGATATACTGAGAAATCAGACCTGCATGGCACCAGCAATCTGCTGATCGCTCATGCAATGCCTTAGAGACTCCACAAACAAAAAATAATAAACGTACATTTTTTACCTGCATAAAAATGTGCAGTTATTATTTTTTGTTAAAAGGTGAACTTATCCTTTAAAATATGCTTGCGCAACTACTTTTGAATGCCAAGTTTTCTCTCATTTTTACTTTGGACGGGCTCATTGTATCCCTATGGCCAGGGGCTGCCCAGGACACCACCTTGCACCTTCGTCTTTAAACTGCTATATTTTTTAACTGCTTCCCGACCACCCTATAGCAGATATACTGCTACAGGGAGGCAGGGGTGCACAAAATCTTGTATATATATGTGATTTTGTGATTCCGGGTAGGACGGCCGGGGCTGTCAATCACCGGGTCCCGGCCTATGATTCCCCGCCGGCGCCCGGTGATTACCGTGCATCTCTGATGGGGAGGAGGATTGCTTTGTTTACTAAGAGTCCTCCTCCCTGTCAGCTGGGGCACACTGCTCTGGATGGCTGTGCACAGCACAGCCATCCAGAGCAGTGTGCTTACAATGAAGCACACGCACACCACCCCCCCTATGTAAAACACTCCCTGCCTAGTGCCATTACTGCAGTGTCAGTGATCTTTTTTTTTTAGCACTGATCACTGTATTGGTGTCACTGGGGAGGTCAGTGACACCAAGTCAGTTCCCCCCAGTGTCAGAATGCCTGCTGGAGTCCCATAAAAACGCACTGATCACCACCATTACTAGTTAAAAAAAAAATTTTAAATTCCAGTATCTATACCACCATTTGTAAAGGTTATAACTTTCACTTAAACCAATTAATTTACACGTATTGGGATTTTTTGTAGCAAAGACATGTAGCAGAATACATTTTGGTGTAAATGTATCACGAAATTTGATTTTTTTTACATTTTTTTACTGGACATGTTTATATAGCAAAAAGACAAAAATACTGTTTTGTTCTCAAAATTGTTGGGCTTTTTTTTTTTATAGTGCAAAAAAAAAAATGCAAAAGGCGATCAAATACCACTGAAAGAAAGCTCAATTCATGGGAAAAAAGGACGTAAATTTAATTTGGGTGCAGCGTTGCATGACCGTGCAATTGTCAGTTAAAGTAACGCAGCGCCGTAAAGCAAAAAATGGCCTGGTCAGGAAGGGGGTAAATCCTTAGGAGGGCAAGTGGATAAAGACCGTGATCTGGTCCCTTGCGAAGTCTGCTCTCACATTGCCACAGGTTGTGTTTGGACTCGTAGGCCTGAGTGTGGGAGCTCATGGGCACAAAGCCTTGGTCACCAGGGAACTATGGTGACTGTAATGATTGTGCGCAATAGGGACATGGAAGCTGTAGGAGACAGCCATCTTGTTAAGCTATCAGCCATTTTGTTTTCATGAGCAGTGATCTTACTCCCTCCCTCCTCCTGCAAAATATGGAATTTGGAGCAATAACTTTTAACAAGCTTCAAAAGAGCCTCTTATGTCAATCAGGGACAACAGAATGCAACAAACAGACCTGGTCAGAGCTGTAAAACATTAATTGAGGTCTACAGCATGTCTGTTTCCAGGAACCATGAAAAAGTCTTCCATCTGGCCTATCGTAAAACAATAATAACTCAGTCAAGCCTGTCACACATGACATGTAAGGCCATTAAAGCTTTAGGAAAGCAGAGCATGCCACAAAACATCTATCCCACAACTTAACAAATTCACACACAATTTGCAAAATCCAACAGGAATAGGACATATTAATATTAGGTATATATTTGAACGGGGAATATCATACCGATTAATTCAAGGTCATACATGACTATGTTAGCACATACGAAAGGGGAGAAAGCAGTCTCCTCCTTCCTGGGTGACAGATACATCCAAGGTATGCTGTGTTTGGTATCCCTGGATATGAAATATAATTCTGAATATTAATCTGTCAGTTTCTAGAATACCACCTGCACATACTGGAAGTCATTAATATTAGTATAAAGCTGTAGTTGGCACCCATCCCTTAAACCGGATGATTGGTCAGTTGGTCTCTGTCGACACTCCTTTAAAATCACAGAAAAAGGGAATGGCAGGACCTGGTAAGGTGGCTCTTGTTTTAACATCAACCAAGGAACACCCAAGAGAGCCACGGCAACATTTTTGCTTGGACAATTTGACTCTGCTAAAACCAGTACTTTGCAAGTATTCTCCATTTTCTACTCCTTTTATTTCTCTGTTGCGTTACTGTTCTCTTTATGTCTTTTGTAACATCCCTTTCTGTAAATATTTTAATTGCACCATTTGACCTTTTCATTAATAAACCCTATTCCTAAAAGTGTTAAAACTATCTGTAAGGCTTTTAATGCAAACTAAAGAATCCCTGTCTCTTGAAGAGTGCTACTGTATATAATAATCCTCTTAATATACCTGTCTGTGGTGACAGTGTGTAGGTTACAGACGTTTATTGTTCACATTTGTTCTTGCTAACATTGTGAAGGGTTGATAGGCCCAAAGCTATCTGGTGGCATTTTGGAGTTTGCAGGGTTAATTGCTTAATTAATTAACCCAGTGATAATCACTCTCAGGCTGATGGCACATAGATGGTAGTCCCGCAAGCTGGAAAATCTTTGTGCAGGGTGCAACTGAGAGTGGCATTGTTACATAGTGACAGCACAGTGTAAGATTGGCTGATTCTTTATTTGGTGAGAAGGGTAGGGGTCGGACACCGCGTATGTCACAGTGATCATGTGCAGCACAAATGTGAAAAACTTAGTACTCCATGCAATTATCTGAATCATGCCAGAGACATTAGAACAAGGTATATTGAAGTCTAACTCAGGGTATTTAGGAATTATTAAAATGGTCTCTGTCCACTCCAAACCCCCACTACTAAAGAAGGATCTTCTGCTCATTTTCTTTCATGCTTGAGTAATACACACTAATATTCACTTTAATCCACAGTTTCATGATCTTCCATCTTTCAAGTTCTCGGTTGTGATGACTGGTCCCCAAAGCCTCTTTTCTTGCCTCCTCCCTCTTCTTATGACTTCATGACATCACAAAGAACTAGGGCCATGTCAATAGGCAGTATGACCACAGGTAGGAGTATCCACCCACATTTCAGTGCTGGAGAGAAGAGGACCTTACTACTGGTCCATAGAGTACTAGTGCTTGTTACCCATACCCTAGAAAAAAATGAGAACTGGATCCTTTAAAATCAAGCGGGCTGGGACCACTTTAGTTATTCCTGTACTGCCTGTGCTGAATTAGTCTTTAAGCTCTTATAAGCTGCCAAATGCAGTCCTTATACAATAAATATATGAAGCACCAATAAATAATCCATTGGCTGTGAGAGTGATTCATTATATATTGATTGCACACCAACTCTCGCTGAGAGAATATGGTACATGTAAAAAAAAAACAGTTACCTTATTTTTGGTCTAATTCAATTAATTAATTTTCTTGACAAAGTATTTAATCTTAAGTGTCAGATGACTAACCTCATCAAATCCCATCTTGTCCGGAAGTTTAGGTGGCACATAGATATATCGTGATGTCTCTAGGGGTGGACGATCAACTAGAAAGCAATAAGGGCAAGTTTACAAATAGAATTAGATTAGAGATTTGCATCTATTTTCATTTAAAAAGCGATATAAAACCTGGGACCTGTTATTCAGATTGGTTATTATGCTTTAGCATCTGTGTTCTCTATATTGTTCTTCGGAATCTTCAACACTATGACAAATGTACATTACAGCATAGCATGTCATGATCAGACAAGGACAGGAAAATAAAGCATCAGAGGTTATGTCATGGGTCTCAATAAAGGACTTTTGAAGCTCTGCTTATTTCCATCATCCAATTATGTGCAAACAAAATATGCTGTTTTTTTTTTTTTTCTTAAACCTGATTGGGTGTTCTTTACAGTCAGGCTTCACCACATTCACTAAGCTCTGGGAAAATGAGCACAACTGCACTTGCAAAGTGCACAGTCTATTTGCCTTTAGTAAATAAACCCCAATGTGTTTGACTGAAGGTAAATGTCTCCCCTACTTACCATTTGAGGTGGGACCTCTGCCCATTTACAGTATGTACAACTTAAATGAGGGAATATACAGAACTTTTGATAATCATGGAGCCTAAGTTCACACTATGGCGGATCATGCGGCCCGTGTGTTTGCTCAGACATGGCAGCACATTCATTGAAATAGGCTGCTGTGCCTGCGTTTCCTGCAGAAAAAAGGTGCATGCACCTTTTTAAAAAATGCGGCCCCAGGGAAACTTCTTGGTCTTTTTGACCATATGCATTGCGGGCTGAGATGCGTGCTGGTGCCATTCAGAATGAATGGCATGCATCTTGTAAGAGTAGTGCAATTTGGCTGTGGGTGAGTTGCGGGTGCAGGAACGGGTGTGATCTCTGCACCCGCAACCAACCCGCAGACAGCGGACCAGTGTGAACAAGGGCTTAATGAATGTACTGCAAGTCTCGTAAATATACATGCATTCAACATTGTTCACAGTCAACCCACTGCAGCACCAACACTTGTGCAAAGGCATAAACCACACAAAATATGTAATTTGCTTAATATCACCAAATGCACAAAAATGCCCAATGTACATCTACTCTTTAAAAATGGACCAAAACTGCCCATACACTGTGAGATTTCTAAACAGTGTGAATGGAGGAATCTCTTCTGCCAGCTATTTCATTCATACAGTAGGCACCCACAGTTGTTCAAATACCCAGATATTGTATCTGAATGGATGTTGCCTCTGTTCAGGTAATAATTTACAACCTAGCTTTTTTTTCAGGCAATAAGGTGCTGACAGAGTCATCTACCAGAATGGGCCAAAAATTGATCTGTATTTGGCCAGCTTAAGCTACAGCACATGGAAGTGTACATACTGTCTACGTAAAGGGAATGTACTTTTTAAATTGTTTCAGATAAACAAATAATAGAGAAATTTTTTTCCAACTTCTATTTAATTAAGATGACCCTTGCACTACATAATTATTGCTAATCTAACATATAACTTGTAAGCAAAAACTGTTTGTGGTCTGCTGGACCTAATTTTGTTTTGAGTGTGTCTAAAAATTGTCTACCTTCATCTTAGTAGCACCATGCAGGAAACCAGTTGGCATGTGTTAACTATGAAATATCACTGATTCTCCTGATTTAGTCATCAAGGACTGGCTTCTTCCTTTCCCCACAAGTAAATACAATAAGGGTGTTTACAAGATATGCTTTTACTTGACATGAGTTTACATAATTGTAGACTAAGTTTATTATGGGATTACACTGTAATGGAGGACCTGATGGTGTAATGGAGGACCTGCGTGGAGGACCTGCGTGGAGTAATGGAGTACCTGCGTGGAGTAATGGAGAACCTGCGTGGAGTAATGGATGACCTGCGTGGTGTAATGGAAGACCTGTGTGGAGTAATGGAGAACCTGCGTGGAGTAATGTAGGACCTGCGTGGTGTAATGGAGGACCTGTGTGGCATAATGGAGAACCTGCATGGTTCACAAGCCTCCTAACATACTTTTTATGATGGTATGTGAAAATACATATAAATGTAATCACACATACAGTAAAATGTATTATAAATACATACAATGCCGCCATTGGCAAAAATGGGATGTACAGTAAATCCTGCTAAATGCCTAACATCCACCAAGTGGTCCCTGACCCCCAGGACAGAATAAGTGTACTGCACTGTATGAGCCAACACAGAAGAATTTATTTATTTCACTGCAAAGAAGGAGGCCTGGAGGCCGTGGACTGCACCATATGTCAGCTATGCTGTTGCAGCATTTCCCGGCTTGAAGAAAATAGAAAGTAGGAAATGTACTATATTCCTCAAGCTTATACGTATAGCTCCTACAAATACACTTATATACATAAGCCTAATGCACTTAAAATGATAGAAATACAGTTATATACCATATTTCCTCTAAGAATGAATGTCACTTTCATGTGAGACCGTTCAGTACACAAGAGAAAAGTAATTTAACATGTATGTGGTTAAATAAACATTCCCAGCAGGGATGCAATCACAAAGTCATAGGTCAAATGGCAAGAGATGGCTTCAACATTGCTCCTCTAGTATACAATTACATTAAAGGTGCACCCTCCTGGAATTAGATTTCCACGGATTCCAGCAAATACTTCTTTGAGTATTGTCTGTTCCTGGAGACCAAAAGACTCCCTATACTCACAAAGAGTGCTTGGCATCGCACTTTAATTCAACCAGAAAACATTTATAAGATTTTTTTACTTAATTAATGAAACAGTATAGTGTATTTTTGGTGAACAAATATGGCATAACTGCAGCTTTTACCTTAAAGTGCAACTGTACTTTTAGTGCACTTATATGGGGGCACGTCTCCTCACCAAATGCTGTACTCATCTGTACTCGGCCTCCTGAGATTTGGATAGTGTGATCATTTTAAAGTAATTTTTTGCTATTACATATTTATTATTTTACCTTCTATATTTTTTTTTCTCAGAGAATAGGTGCAGGAATTTCACCCTTCTGAGTCACTTCTTGTCCCTGCCCCCCTACCCACCTCTGAACACTGTCCCTTAGTTCCACCCCCTACCCACCTCCCAGTACTGCCCCATATAAAAAATACAGAACCAAGTATCATTTTGTGGTGCTATGTAATTTGTGTGGAATTGTTAATGATAACAAGAAAAGCGTATATCCCACAGAAAGAGAAGAAAAAGACCACCCAAGGAACAATAGTTCCCCCGGCAACAATGGGCCTCCAGAACAAAATATCCGCCCAGCAACAAACGATTTCCCAGCAGTCAGAATCAATAGTCTCTTCAGCAGCCAGCAAAAGCCCCCTTCCTCAACAGTAGAATTCTTTCAGCAGCAACTGACCCCCCCCCCCCAAGCAACAACAATCCCCCACCTAAACATTAAACCTGCCAGCAACAATAGACCTCCACCAACGATATATCCCCCAGCAGCCAGCAACAATAGACCCCTCATTCAGCAGTAGATCCCTTCCAGCAACACAAGGCCCCCCCCCTCCAACAACAAATGACCACCATGCAAAAATAGGTCCCCTCCAGCAACAATAGATTCTCCAGCAGCCAGCATCAATACAACCTCCGGCACACGCCAGAACCCCTAGTCACAAAACCCCAAAAATGGGCTGGACAAAAGTATTGGCACCCTTAACTTAATATTTGGTTGCACACCCTTTGGAAAACATAACTGAAATCAGTCGCTTCCTATAACCATCAATAAGCTTCTGACACCTCTCACCCGGAATTTTGGACCACTCTTCCTTTGCAAACAGCTCCAGGTCTCTCTTATTGGAAGGACACCTTTTCCCAACAGCAATTTTAAGATCTCTCCACAGGTGTTCAATGGGATTTAGATCTGGGCTCATTGCTGGCCACTTCAGAACTCTCCAGCGCTTCTTTGCCATCCATTTCTGAGTGCTTTTTGACGTATGTTTGGGGTCATTGTCCTGCTGGAAGACCCAGGATCTTGGACTCAAACCCAGCTTTCTGACACTGGGCCCTACAGTGCGACCCAAAATCCTTTGGTAATCCTCAGATTTCATGATGCCTTGCACACAGTCAAGGCACCCAGTGCCAGAGGCAGCAAAACAACCCCAAAACATCATTGAACCTCCACCATATTTTACCGTAGGTACTGTGTTTTGTTCTTTGTAGGCCTCATTCCGTTTTCGGTAAACAGTAGAATGATGTGCTTTACCGAAAAGCTCTATCTTGGTCTCATCTGTCCACAAGACGTTTTCCCAGAAGGCTTTTGGCTTACTCAAGTACATTTTGGCAAACTGTAGTCTTGCTTTTTTTATGTCTCTGTGTCAGCAGTGGGGTCCTCCTGGGTCTCCTGCCATAGCGTTTCATTTCATTTAAATGTCGACGGATAGTTCGCGCTGACACTGATGCTCCCTGAGCCTGCAGGACAGCTTGAATGTCTTTGGAACATGTTTGGGGCTGCTTATCCACCATCCGGACTATTCTGCGTTGCAATCTTTCATCAATTTTCCTCATCCGTCCACGACCAGGGAGATTAGCTACAGTGCCATGGGTTGCAAACTTCTTGATAATGTTGCGCACTGTGACAAAGGCAAATCTAGTTCTCTGGAGATGGACTTGTAACCTTGAGATTGTTGATATTTTGCCACAATTTTGGTTCTCAGGTCCTCAGACAGTTCTCGTCTCCTCTTTCTGTTGTCCATGCTTAGTGTGGCACAGACAGACACACAATGCAAAGGTTAAGTGAACGTCTCTCCTTTTTATCTGCTTTCAGGTGTGATTTCTATATTGCCCACACCTGTTACTTGCCCCAGGTGAGTTTACAGGAGCATCACATGCTTGTAACATTCTTATTTATCCGCAGTTGTGAAAGGGTGCCAATACTTTTGTCCAGCCCATTTTTGGAGGTTTGTGTGACATTATGTCGAATTTGCTTTCTTTCCTCCCTTTTTTTGTTTTGTCCCAATACACACAAAGGAATAAACATGTGTATAGCAAAACATGTGTTAATGCAATACGTTTCGTGAGAAATACATGATTTCCTGGAGAAATATCAAGGGTGCCAACAATTTCGGCCATGACTATATTCAGTGCTGGAGGTGCCAGAACTGTGTTCCCCGCATTCCTGCTGAAAAAAAAGCCCTGAATATAAAAAATATGTAGCTTAGGAGTATCAGAAGGTCTGTGAGTGTAGGTCTTGGATTGTGAGAATGAGAGAGTAACCATTTTAAGCATGTATATGTATTATACAAATATGGCTGCCCCATGTACACAGAGAACTACATATAATCCACAGAAATTAGGTTCTGAAAATATTAACACACATTGATAAGATTTTTTTGCAGATCTATTTTACATGTACAGTATAGCTAAGAAAATAAAAACAAAAAATCTGAAAACAGTGAAAATATTTTGTTATAAAGTGATGAAAGGAGAAAAATAATGTATTTTTTTTAAAGACAGAAGAAGGCTCCAAGTACACCAGAGGCAGTGGTTTTAATTTAGCTGGAAAAAAAAAACCTAGGAGATAAAGCTGAGGCCAGGGTCCACTAGTGCTGAAAAAAGGGAAGGAAAAAGCTATTTTCATTTAAATGTGCTGCTGTGCCTGCATTTCCTGCGAAAACGTTTCTTGCATCATTTTCAAAATGCAGCTGCAGGAAAATCCCATGGTGCTTTGGCCCCATAGGATTTCCCTGCAGTTCCCACACAAGCAAATGTGCTGCGGTTTAGTTGCATGGGGGCTGCCATTAAGAGTGAATGGCAGCCCTGTGTATCTATACAGAGCAGCGAGTTTTATCTGCGGAAGGTTGCTGGTGTGGAAACAACTGTGATTCCTGTACCCGCAACCAACCAGTGTGAACCTAGCTTTAGAGTTATTCTGATGAGCCCTGCTTACAGCAGTGGTCACAAGGGGACTGTCCATTTACACAAACGTGTGCAGTTTTCTGTGTGCAGACATGGACAAATTTGTTGGCACCATTCCAGGTAAAAGAAAAACCCTTTTCTCTGAAATAACCTTAAACTGACCAAAGTAATTGGATTCCATTATTGTGTACTGCACATTTAATACAAATCAGACTTTGCTTTTGATTTTTGGTATAATGGAATATTTTAAATAAAATGATATGGACAAAAAATGATGAGACCCTTAACCTAATAAATTTTGATGCAAACCCTTTCGACATGATCATTTGCTACAGCTCTATATGAGACTTCTGACCACATTTCTTTTTTTTAGCCCACATTTCTTGAGAAAACTGCACCAGCTACTGTATCTCAAGTTTAAGGGTTCCTTCTCCAGATTGCATGTTTTAGCTTATTTCATAGATGTTCGATAAGATTCAGATCAGGGTTCTTAGAAAGCCACTTCAGGTTAGTCCAATGTTTTGTTCTTAGCCATTCTAGGGGTTTATTTACTAAAGCAGGAGAGTGCAATATCAGGCTCACTTCTGCTAGAAACCAATCGGCTGCTAACCTCAGCTTCTCCAATTAAGCTTTGGCAATAAAACCTGGAAGCTGATTGGTTTCTATGCAGAATTGAGCCTGATTTTGCACTCTCTCCAGCTTTAGTAAATAAACCCCTTGTGTGATGTTGCATGTGTGTTTTGGCTAATTATCCTGTTGGAAAACCCATCACCTGCAATTGAGAAAGAGCTTTCTGAAACATGGCAGTATGTTCACTCTAGAATTCCTTGATAGTCTAAAGACTTCACTGGGCCCTTCACAGATTCAAGGAACCTTGTGCCAGATGCCACGGAGCAGCCCAAAAGCATAACCAAAGTTCTTCTACTGTATGTTTCACAGTAGCTACAGCTTTCTCTTTTCTGTAAGTCTTATTTTTTCTGTGAACATAGAGTTGATAAAACTTATCTCAGAGCTCCAGCTTTTCTCCCTGAAGCAATGGGGTTTATTTACTAAAGCTGGAAAATCAGGCTCACTTCTACATATAAACCAATCATTTTTCTAACGTTAGCTTGTTTGATTAAGCTTTGGCAATGAAACCTGGAAAATGATTGGTTTCTTTGCAAAAGTGAGCCTGATTTTGCATTCTCCAGCTTTAGTAAATAACCCGCAATGTGTCTTGTCAATATACATTTTGGCTAATCACAGCCTGTTTTTTTTTTATTTTTGTCAACAGTAGCATCTTCCTGGGTCTTCTTTGACATACTAGTCTAAATTTTCTTTCTGATCTTTTCTGGTAAGTGTCCAGTGTTGATTATACCAAAGAGCAGAATGACAATTTTTTCGTCATTTAAATAGGCTGACTGTCTGATTAGATTACTGGAGACATGTGTGATGCTAATTACATAAACCATTTAGTTGCTATGGTCCAATTATTTATACTCTAGGCCATTTAGATCATGCAATGATTTATCTATTTTCTCATTTTCTTTGCTTTATTCTGTGTCATACAAAAGGCAAGCAGGTATACATGAGACAACTGCTTTTACTTGTATCACTTTCAGGAGGAATGAAGTATTGTTTCAATGAGCTGTATGGGTACCAACAAAATTGTCTTGTACTGAGTCAACAGTTTTACATAAACATCTGGTCACTTTTTCCCTGTAGGTTACCGTAGAGCTGGAACCTTCTTGATCTCTGTATCCACAAATAAGTTATGTCATAAAACTACTGATAACTTAAATAGAAGATTTTTACTTATATTCTACCCATTCACTCTTCACTTACTCATTGCTTCTGTAAGGACATGAGTAAAAACTCTCAATGTCATCTTCTAAAGTTTGATGTGGTTTAAGAGGCACAGGAAGATATCCATAATGCTCCTTATTGCATATATACATCTGAATTCCTGAAAAAGACAAAGACATATTAGATGGCATGCCGTTTTAAATATGTAAACTTTAGTGCACAAAGTGATTAGGTTTGTCATAAAATTATGCCGTTTAGTGCATTATAAATGGTAAATATTCTTTTGAAGGGACTCAATTTTAAATCTAGGTGATCTTGACTTGTAACAAAAAAACATTAGGCACCTCAATCTTGTAATGTAATTGTAATCAAAATCCATCCCAACTTGTGCTTGAGCTTATTTACTCCCTAGGTGGGATATTTTCACATATTTTTTTCCAATAGAAGTTCAGCGTAATGTAGCCAGAACTGTTGTTTTTGCAAATTGTGGCAAGCATCTATATAGACTTTATGAATTTTCCCTCCCACGGCTTACACATTACAGGCCACCATTCTGGATAAATTGTATTTCTTAAAGGATATATTCACCTTTTAAGAAAAAAATAATAAATGCACATTTTTTTGCAGGTAAAAAAATGTGCATTTACTTTTTCTTTTTTTTGGGGGGAGCCTGATTGCTGGTGCGATCATCAGATTGCCCGTGCTATGCAGGACTCCTGCAGATCTGTGTGCTGTGTACCTCATACAGGCAAGCAGATACACAGACAGGAAGAATCAATGAACTACCCCAGTACTCAATAGCACCGTGGTAGCTCATTGAGAACTACAGGTCAACAGCCTCAAAGTTTATTGGGACTCTGAACTTGTGGTTTTCCCATTCACAGAATACTGTGTATGAGTGACACGGCCAGGCAGGGGGAGCCCCATATGACTACTTTTTTTAAAATTGTGATAGCTAGCAGAGGGGAGATCACAATGGATTGTAACAATTGTAACTAGTAACAATTGTAACTTGTTATATCCTGAATATGAGTGCAACATGTAATATGTTATGAAAGGGGAACTTCTCCTTTAATTGTACTTTTTCATCATAAGGGCGCATGAACACTGCAGTTGTCAAACACCTGTTTCACAGAGGTATGGCATTTTTTTCTGACCCTAAACACCCCTCTATGTTAGCTTATGTGTTCATTCACACATAGGTATTTACAGGCATTTAGTGGCAGGGGTGTTTAAGGGCAGAAATACGAATGCAATAAAATCATGAACACACTTGATGCACCTGAACACATCTAAACACATCTCCTAGATTGTAAACTCGAAAGAGCAGGGCCCTCAAACCCCTCGTGGATTGTTTTGTCACTGTATTGTCTCATGTTCTGTCCCCCAATATAATGTACAGCGCTGAGCAAACCTTTTGGCGCTATATAAATACTGTATAATATTAATAATTTGATAAATGCAGTTTTAAGTGCGTCTTTAATGCTGCTTTTCTGCTGTCAGGAGAAAAGTGTTCAGAAAAACATAGTGTGCATGAGGCCCTAGGGAGTCTGACAAGAGTAGACTAAATTCTCAAATTACAGAGTGACTCTTCAACCAACTTAGTATCTAAATTTGTTATTACATTATAACATTACAAGTCTTTAAGTTTAGTCAATAAAGCAGTGCAAAAGGCAAAGGTACAATGCAAAGTGCATTGATAGAGTATCATAGGTTTCAATAGACCACCTGTGTTGCTAATGGTGGACTTAATCTGCCACAATGGCACAAATTTTAAGGAGTGCCTCCCAGTTTTTTAGCACTACCCTATAATAAAACCATTGGAACTAGGTAGCATTGTCCCCCTGACCCTTACTGGTATAAAGTCTTATCTTGCACCCTGCGTCAGCAATGTAACAACCTTTTACACCTCTGAAGAACCCAGGACCTTTTCATTTGGGGCACTCTACAATTGTAAGTTCACTGCAATGCAGCAAATAAGATCAATAAATGGAAAGGGTTCATGGCAAGGGGAAGAAATTACCTAAGGTAAAGAAGTTCAAACTCCAATTGTGCATTAAAATCCCTTTGTCTGTAACTAAATCCTGATTACTCCATGTGTTTTCCTATGCATTTGTATATATTTGCTGTTTACATTTTTTTATTGATTGTACTGTAATTTTCTCATTCAGCTTATACACACACCATTTATAATACTGTGATGTTAATATATTTGCAGTGGCATGCAAAGACTACAAACATGCACAAGATGGCAGTATATTTCAGATAAAAATATGAAATTTTCTCTCAAGGTTGGGCAATTACATGCATTTAAAGTGACACTAAACAATATTCTTATTCTCCAAAATTTTTTTCATTAAGTCATGTACAGGGGCGGACTGACAACTCATGGGGCCCCCGGGAAATAGGGGATCATGGGGCCCCTGTGTCCTTGCCCAAACTGAAAAAAGCCTATGAAAAAGGTACCAGGGGCATCTCATGGGGCCCCCTACTGACCCCCCGGGCCCTCGGGCAGTGCTCGAGTTTCCAAATGGTCAGTCCGCCCCTGGTCATGTATTACTGTATTTCTTACTGTATTTTTTCCCCTTACTTCATGTTTGTTTGGAATGAGCAGTGCATGTTAGTGCACACTAAAAATACCAATGGTTCATAATCAAGAGTGCCTAGACTATCTCGGGAGTGAGAAAAAGACTAGACATACAGTAAGACCATGGAAAACAAAAGTAGTCGCCCTCTAACAGGGTGCAGCAGCGAGAAAAAGATATTTCGAGATTTGGTGGGGGTTGAGAGCAATAGAAAGTACTTTTCTGAGTTAAAAATACATGATTGGAACAACCCCCTTCTTATCGATTACTGACCAGGGGACACTGGTTGAGTTGCTTTGATGGACTTTCGGATCTGTTCCTGGAACTATAGTTTCATCCTTCAGCATTCTTTTCATAGACTGGATTTTCAAGTATACTCATACTTTACACTTGAGGGTGCTGACTTTGCTTTGGTTCATGACCAGGCCCCTTGAGAGGATATCGAGATTATCCCTGTCCCTTCTTTCTTGTACTCCCCCCCCCCCCTCCTCTTTTCTTCTCCCCCCCCCCTTTTTTTTCTATCTTCCTTCATCTCATGTCTTCTTTCTTTTTCTTCTTCTCAGCTTTACCCTTTAGTCCTCCATAGTTCCAGACTCTGCAGGCCGGATGTGTTTTATGGTCTGACAGGCCCCTAGGGTTTAGGTTCTTAGATTCCCTTTTATACAACATTTCACTCTTGGTACGATAGATGACCTACCACCGTTCCTGTAACTGGATAGCTAATTAAAATGTTTGACTTTACTGGCCAACAACTGGAACCCTTTGGAATGGTTGCCTCTTCCACGCGTGTTGGAGGTGGCCTATTGTCAATACTTGTTTCTGCTTGCTGTTTGGTACATCTACTGTTTATGTATTGATATGTTACATCTCTTACTTAACATTTTATGATGTACATTTTACATATCTTGGATTGTGCTGTGGTTTTATTTTTCTTCTTGTTTTTATTTTCTTTCACGTTTTGGGCTTTGTTACAATCATCATGATGTGACTGTTCCTTGTATATGTCGAATGTCAATAAAGTTCTTAAGAAATGAAAAAATATATATACTTGAATAGAATATATATATATATACAAAACCCAGAGTTTTGTGGCAACTTAAAGCCATGTAAACATAAACATTGTGATTCAACGGAGAAAAAGCATCCTTTGTATTGTAAAGCATTTTTGTTAGGATGTGTTTATGATGTGTTTGAAAAGATTATGCATTTGTAATAAACCCAATGTAAAATTAGTAAAACAAAATGTAAGCTAATGCACACCCAAATCATAACATCAGTACATAAAGGGTAATCACATAAATAAAGGTGCTGAAATCATAGATTGGGTTTCCTAAAGAAAGACCCAGGAAAATTATTATATAAATAAAATAATAAGCAGCATTCCAAACAGCTAAATTTTAGATTTTCATATATTAGTGAAAGAAAGCACCGTATAGAGACATAACAGTACATCAGAGTACAGATCTCCCCACAGCTCCTCTCTACAGACAAAAGCAAACTCTCAGGTACACGCTATATATCAGGGGTGGACTGACAACTCATGGAGCCCCCGGGCAATAGGGCATCATGGGGCCCCTGTGTCCTTGCCCAAACTCAAAAAAGCCTATGAAAAAGGTACCAGGGGCATCTCATGGGGCCCCCTACTGACCCCGGGCCCTCGGGCAGTGCCCGCGTTTCCAAATGGTCAGTCCGCCCCTGCTATATATACATTTTCACTAGAACATGGAGGAGATCCAGGCTTAAAAGCACAGCAATTAACTAACATCATTACACATAGATAAATACCAGAAAATAACCTTCAGCTGGCATGCAGACACTCAGGATCAGGCCGAGGTGGGAATCAAAATGTTTCAGAATAAACACTCCTTTCTTAAGTGAGCCGTACCTCCATTTACTTTTAGCCTGGATTTCCTCCCTGTTCTAATGAAAATTTATATTATGCTGAGAGTTTGCCTTTGTCTAGATAGAGGAAGATGTCTCTATATGATTTTTTCTTTCATTAATATATGAAAATCACCTGAAAGTTAGCTGCTTGGGGTGCTGCCTATTATTTATTGATAAATCCAACATACCTATGTTCAGTTTGAGGCAGGTTCAGTGAATGTTATTTAAGTTTAGGTACCACAGCAGAACCCAGCTGTAGTCAATGTGAGCCAGATTTAAAAAAAAACAGTTGTAGACATTTACTTAGCTAACAGGCAAGGGATTGTCAGACAAATGGCATGGGAAACTGTACTGGCGTACCATGCACTGTCCAGGGGAATCAAAGCATAAAAAGAAAAAAAATAGCATATACTTCTGTTTGGCAGGGAGCAAACACTAAAAATACAAAATTCCATTAAATAGCAGGTCCTGTCCCTGTCTGTGAAGTGACGCATCTGTATGATGTATACAACCTTCTAAAGCAAAACTGATATTTACAAGAAAAATTGTTTAAATCGTCAGCAAAATGAGAGCTCCCGGCCACTTCTTTTGGTTTGTAAACAAGTGGCCGATGAGGGTCTGATATACTGTAGATATTAATGGGAGACCCCACAAAAAAAACACAAAGGGGTTCACCCACGTTGATGAGGGCGCTTGCCCTCATCAACATGGGAACTATGTGCTTTCTCCCTTGACAAGGTACCCCCCATGTTGAAGGCATGTCACCTGCCTGGTATGGTTCAGGAAAGAGGGGGAGCATATGCCCCCCCCCCTTTCTTTCTTGGCCAGTCAGGCAGAATGCTCAGATAAGGGTAAGGATGGATTTTTAGGAGAGACATAACACTTTTTCTTTCTATATGTTTGCATGGGGTCCCTTCTTAAAATATATACCAGACCCAAAGGGCCTGGTTTGTATTATGGGGAAACCCCCCATGTTTTTTTTTAACTATTCCTGGTCCCTTTGTTTACAAGACTGGGGTTTCCCGGCCAGTAAATGAATGGGGGTGGGTGATGTCCCTGGCAGATGCTGGCACTCGCTGCTTCCTTACCAACCAATGACAGGAGAATGAAGCTGCATACACTATATTGCCAAAAGTATTGGGATGCCTGCCTTTACACGCACATGAACTTTAATGGCATCCCAGTGTTAGTCCATAGGTTCAATATTGAGTTGGCCCGCCCTTTGCAGCTATAACAGCTTCAACTCTTCTGGGAAGGTTGTCCACAAGGTTTAGGAGTGTGTCTATGGGAATGTTGGATAATTCTTCCAGAAGCACATTTGTGAGGTCAGGCACTGATGTCAAATGAGAAGGCCTGGCTCGCAGTCTGTGCTCTAATTTATCCCAAAGGTGTTCTATGGGGTTGAGGTCAGGACTCTGTGTAGGCCAGTCAAGTTCCTCCACCCCAAACTCACTCATCCATGTCTTTATGGACCTTGCTTTGTGAAATGGTACGCAGTAATGTTGGAACAGGAAGGGGCAATCCTCAAACTGTTCCCACAAAGTTGGGAGCATGGATTTGCCCAAAATGTCTTATTATGCTGATGCCTTAAGAGTTCCCTTCACTGGAACTAAGGGGTCAAGCCCCTTTTCCCTTTCGTAAAAAAAAACAAGATGGCACTTTTCAGGTACTGATTGTTCAATAAATTTGATTATACTATTCAACTGTAAAAAAGGATTTGTGTAGCCAAAAATTCACTTTAACACGTCTTTTCTCTTCTCTTACATTTTCCTTGGCAATGGTTCTGACTCATTTTATATATTTCTCTGTGCTAAAACAATGTTATTTTACTATGGTTGTATACTTTTTGTACATTTTAAAAGTAGGAGCGCAGCCCTATTGAAGTAACAGTGGAAGATACTACTACTATCCTACTTCTTCAGCAAGGATGTGCAAATTGTAGTACCCAGACACCCATCAGTTTGATGGCATGATTCTTTAATAGGTGCGCTTGCTAATCTTACTATGCACTTAGTCCACTGCTTTATTGAAAAAGCCTGCATATGTGTAAAAACATTTGCTGTGTAAATACATACCTGCTTGCCTGCAGGAGAAGGCAAATATAATGATGTCATCAAATGACCAAGTAAAGTCTGGATGTGGAGGATAAAACTGAAGATTTTGAGATGCTTCTTTTCGAAGGTCAATGAGCATTGTTGAATGGATCATTGGTACAGGGTAACAGCCTGTTTTCTTCCATTCTCTTATGACAGCATACTCAGGAGTCCTTTTATAATACCCCTTAAAATGGATTACAACAGGAATACAAAATTACAAAATATAGGCCAGAGAAAAAAAAAAGTTACATTTATCTTATATGATAAAATAATAGTTTATATCTTTTTCTAAATATAATAAAGCCACCATTTTATCTCTAACAACTGTGTGATTCCAATGTAACATTAGCAGGTGTTTGCACTACACGCAGTGGAATAGGCAAATATAAGTTTAAAATTGCAATTACATATATGTGCAAACCTTTTTTTATAGTACCAGCTACAAAATGGTTGACTAAATGGGAATGATTCACTGAAGAAATAAGAGCTTGTTCACTTAGCCAAGCGAATGTTCACTTTAGAAAGTATAAAAGGTTTGCATCAGTCATCCTGTCACATGTAAGCAAAACTCCTGTATGTTTTTTTTTCTTTTCCCTAACACATGATTGGGTATATAAAGCAAACAGAGCTTAGCTTTATTTACTAAGCTAATGGGATCTTCTTACTGACAGGTCATATCATGGAGCTCTCTTCCTGGCTTTTGCCCTCTCCCATTCATATTAATTGTGATCTGCTTTGTGTTTAGAAGTTCTCCAAACAAATGGAGCTTTAAGCACATTTGTAAAGCACTCCGTCATGCTTTATAAATTTGAGCTTTGTTTTTTTTTAAATGATAATATCTAAATTATTGCGTGATTATCGGGCATTGAACAGTTAGATTGTGTCACCTAGTTTTTTGCTACACATGGCTTCTGTAGCAAGACCCTCACAACAGCACCTCTCAACAATTTACATGAGGAGTTACTCAAGTGCATACAAAATATTAGGAACCATTTTATAAATGTAGCACTACCCTCTTGAGAGCACAGCCAGGCAACCTGCACTTTCCACACTTGCAACCACAGTCAGTGAACAGTCCATGAGCTTGGTTTTTCTTATTTTATTAGGGGATATAACTTGGATAGGGTAATAGGGATTATGGGATGCCCAACTTGACTGAATCAATGCACGGGAACAGCTTCCTTTGAATTTACAGAAACAGATCTTGAACTGTTCTTTTCCTTGAAAGTGGTCAGTCATTTTGGATCAGTAGAACTGCCCCTTACAGGGTAGGAGCGAGCAGCCTCTCTGAAAGTTAGCTTAGCTTGTTGCAAACTATGTGCATAGATATCTCCTCTCCCCTGTAGAACTGCTCCCATCTTCACAGCCTGCAGACACTACCAGCCCTCCTGGCTGTTCTGAAGATCTCCCAGGACAAGAAGGACAAGGATAAAAGATTAAGCACAGCACTGTCCTTTGAACACCTGCTACATGTGGCAGTCTTTCCCCTTATGAATCCCTGGGTGTGCTGATGCACACACGCTGTCCTTCTTGCTCGCACTGCTCCCAGACCTTGATCCTGTTCATATTGTGATGCTGAATGGATTCTCCTGAGTCAGCCTAACCCTAGTCTGGAGGCCAGCCCCCCTAGACCTAGGAGACCCCTCCAGGCCACTGGCAGCCTCCTCAGCACTGCATCTTCCACCTGACTCTCTTACCAGCCTGACTATCCCATATTTATTGGTTGGTCTCACCACTCTACCAGGGCCTCAAACATGGGATTGGTTAGACTCTTATAAGCATGCAGATTAAGTCTCCACCCCTTCTGCCATTTGGTTCTGGAAAGTTCCATGGTCCTCCAGAACCAGGTGGAGGTGATTGAGTCCCAACCTGTTAGGCCATCCAGCCTAACCTGCAGTAACCCAACCTAATTACAGACTCACACAGTTACCATGAGTCATACACAATTAAATTACCTACACTAGCCTAGTAGCACACTACAGGGTGCTACATAAATATACCAATTTCATACTACTGCAAAGTCATTGCATGAGTAGAGGAAGTCTAACATAAAACACTGGTACTATTCTTTTTTTACAAATGTCTAGCCTATAAGATGGAAATTGCTTAAGGTCTCGACAATAACATTTTTATTAAGGAACAGTAACAGGGTGAAATGTATTTGAAAGTATAAAGAATACATTTCATTGCTGTGTAACAGTGGTCTCCAAACTGCCCTGGGGGGCTGGATGTGGCCCTTTAACTGCCTATATCCAGCCCTTGGGGCACTACTCCTCCCACTGACACCAACAATGAGGCACAATTCCTTCCACTGATGCTGACGATGGGGCACTGTTATTCCTTGTGACACCAACAATGGGGCTCTATTTCTCCCAGTGACACCAACAATAGGGCACTATTCTTCCCACAGACACCAAAGATGGGGCACTATTCCTTCCTTTGACACCAATGATGAGGCACTATTCCTCCCACTGATACTAATGATGGGGCATTATTCCTCCCACTGATGCCAACAATGGGGCACTATTCCTCCCATTGATACAAATGATGGGGCACTAATCTTTCCATTGATACCAGCGATGGGGCACTATTCCTCCCATTGATACCAATGGTGGGGCACTATTTCTCCTACTGATACCAGTGATGGAGCACTGTTCCTCCCCCTAATGCCAAAGATGAGACATTGTTTACTACCACTGATGTCAGGACATTTTCTACTTCTGCTGGTCATACTGTGGCCCCCCCTAAAGTCTGAAGGACACTAAACTTGGCCCTTTGTTTAGAAAGTTTGGAGATCCCTGCTGTATAATGTAGAAACCAATTTGTTCATGTTAAAACCTCCATATATTAGAACAACTTTAGCAAAGTTTTGTTCTGAACTATATCTTACACTGCAATGGTCAGCCATATTTTATTAATGATTTAATACTTGCCTGAGGTGTCATACCACACCAGAAATTGGAGTATAATGTCCGAGATTCCAGCACAGGGGCCACAATTGTTTTATTTTCTTCAATCAATAGATTTAATGTTTGAGGATTAGTTAAAAAGTTGTCTGCATCGATGTACTATCAAAAAAAAAGGGATTCAAAAAAGAAAGTACATATTACATGAATTCGAAAAAAAAAAAAAAAACCCTCTATAAATATATTTTTAATTTAGCTTACACTGAGAGTTGATCGATGTTTTTATTATTATAATTGATGACGGCAAAGGTTAATTGCAAAATATTACTCATTTAAATCTTAATTGCAGTTGGTTCCAAATAAAACCAAAAGGAACCAATGCGTTTTAATTACTTTAAATGACAAATGTTCAATAAATGACTTACAAGGATATAATCAGACCATTTTTCTCTTGCAGTGCGCAGTGCAGCCTGACGAAGTTTAATCACATGGACAAATCTGGAAGATGGCCAGTGCTTTGGTCCAAATTCATCAGTATAAGATCTACAGAAAGAGAGTAAGAATGAAATTCCAATATCAACTTTCTGATAATTATTAGGTTCACATAATTAAATTAAAAATTAGTTTTGTACATAGTATGTTTGCAAACTACAGCTGTGATCAACAGTCATGTGAAAATTTCCAACAATTCTCCTGAGCTTTATCCTTTTCATTTATGTACTGCACTTGTTCTTGCAGAACACCTGGCCATGTAATCATTAAATGTACCATATATAGGAATATTGTATTTATATTACAGATTTTCTCCAGGCCTGAGCACAGCATTAAACAATAAAGTCACAGCAACATCTCTATGTCTGAATTTTGGATTGAAAACCAATCATTATTAAATATATGATTTATATTAAACCACTGCCTTGGATGGTTTCATGGAAATAGCTAAATACACAGATAAAATACATACAAAGGAGCTGTTTTACAAGACAAAGGATTTGTATTCTTGTTCATCCAGTTCTGAGATATACTACTGAAAACAACTCTAAAGCTGGCCATATATGGATCAAAATTTAGCCAGTTCAGTAGGGACTGGTTGAGATTTGGTTCCTGTATCGGCAGGCTATAGCTGCTAGCAGTAATCACTGTGTTCTGCCAGCTGAGAGGGCAGAACACAATAGCGATGCAGGAGGCATGTGCCCATCACACGGACTGTGTTGATGGAGGAATCGAGTGATGGTGGAAGGAAGGAAAATGGAGTCAACTATGGGCTACCTTAGAAGAATCTCTATTACAACTTTTTATTCCTCTTTTTCTCCTGTTCTCTGCTCACCCTAAGCACCACTGATTAATATGGTTGGTCAGTGTTGATACAGCTTTGCCAGGAGTTTAGAGGCAGGGTGTTCAGGGACAGAAATCAAAAAATTGCATTCAGGAGAGGAGCAGACAGAAAAAAAATACCTGACTCATCTAAACATGTGTAAACATATAACATGCCTAAGTACTAGGCACCTTTAGAACTTGAGTGTTTTGTCATTTCAATAGCCAGAATAAAATAAAATTCTGGTCAATAAAAAAAAACCCCCAAGCATGTGATGCACCTAAAAACATGTTTGCAAAAATGTGGGTTGGGGACATTTTTGAAGGTGCTTTTCTCCAGCTAGATGAAAAGTGTTTACAAAAGCCCCAGTGTGAACAAAGCCTTACAGATTAAAACTGGTTATACACTAGTAAATTTTCCTTTGTAATTTTTCATCTTTAGAACATTCATTCTATTTACTAATGGTTTGTGGGTTCAAATCGATATTCGTTTTCGATCATACGAATGAGAAATTTCAAAGGAGCAGGATGGAAATGATTTCTTGAAAGAACAAATTTCTAGCAGTGATAATAGATTTTGTTCAGGAAAATACATTCATTCCAAAATCAAATGTTAAAAGCAAATTATTTATTATTATTTTTATTTCAGGTACTTATATAGAACCGTCAATTTACGCAGCGCTTTTACATATATATTGTACATTCACATCAGTCCCTAACCCTCAAGGGGCGTACACTCTAAGGTCCCTAACTCACATTCATGTACAAGGGCCAATTTAGACAGGATCCAATTAACCTACCAGCATGTCTTTAGAGTGTGGGAGGAAACTGGAGCACCCGGAGGAAACCCACACAGGCACAGGGAGAACATGCAAACTCCAGGCAGGAGGTGCCGTGGCTGGGATTCGAACAAACGACCCTAGTACTGCCAGGCGGATGGGCTAACCATTTAGCCACTGTGCTGCCCGCAAATGAATTTTTTAAATACTTTTTACATTCACGAAGTCATTGAATGTACTGAAAATGCTTGTATGAACATTTTTCATAAAACTACTAGCCTATGACCAGCTGTATGCACACCTAACTGTCTTAATCTGTATCTCTTATATCTGCTTGGAGGTCGAACTTAAAAATAGTTAGAGCTCTCAATACAATAATCATATTTTGTATTTGGAAGAAAATATACAAATATTTAAATCAGATTATAATTTATAATGTCCTCAAAATCCTGTCTGTGAAGAAAAAATTTATTATGATACTTTGAACAATATCAGCCATTACAGACTATTTAATATGATACCACATTCAAAACACCCAGATGCAGGGAAATGGGCTGTACATGTCAGTAAAATTACCCTTTAGGTCACATCTAAACCTTTTATAGACACAGCATTCACCTGTTTTATTTCTGTATTTTTGGCTGCACACTGATGCTCACAATTTACAAACTTGCTGTAACAAAGGGTAAATCTTGTTACTTGTGTAAGGATCGTTCTTAAAAAAAAACTTGCATTGTATGTAGTCACTACTTTATTGCCCAGAAGCCATAGAAGCAGGATGTTATCTGGGTTCAAAATTCGCTATAGACACACAAATTTATAAAAAAAAAAATAAAATAAAATAAAAGCAGAGTCAGTAAATAGTTGTACACTGTAAATGTATTACTTAAAGTGTTACTAAACCCAGGACCCTGCATTCACTATATCCAGTCTCCCACAGTACACAGAATATGGAAATGCAATTATTTTAGTAAATATAAACGGTTAAATACCTTTTCTCATCAGCAGTGTATAGCAGTCTTGTGACCTCTATCACTGTCCAGCCAAGCTCCGGTTAAAGCTTGTAGGTGAGGTTTTCATTTTGCTCTAGGAGGATGCAGAACCCCTGACCTTTGTCTGCATTGTGCTGATTGGTCGTGTGCTGATCACATGCACTCTTCCAAGAAAAAAAAAAAAAGTTTCTAGCAATACACACCAAACTGGCCATGTGCAGAGTGACTCCACATGATATGTCTTATCAGGAGATAAGATGGGGGGCACTGGAAGAAGGGGAGGATCAGAGAAGTCAGGATCAAACAGTGTTTTTACATAATGCAGAGGATTAACCCCTTAGGCTTCATGAGTATAACAAGCATGCTTTACTACATATACAGACTGATTTTACTGTTGTGGGTATAGTAACACTTTAAGTTTGCATTTTGCCTGAGGACACTGAGGATGAAACAATATATTTTTTGTTCCTTTTGCTTCTGGAGCGCTTAATACTTTAATCACTGTGTAAAGGTCATGGCACATACTAAACAATTCAGTCCAAAAGCATTAAAAGTGAGGATCTTGTCAACTGAAAACAAAAAAATATTCATATTGTACAGTGCATACAAAGTTGTATAGTGGTGTGGTTTTAAAGATCCATGTAGGATTTGGTACACTATATGGCCAAAGTTTGTGGATCTGACCATCACACCTATACAAGTTTGTTGGACATCTCTTTCTAAAAACATTCATGCTAAAATGAAGTTGCCCCTTTGCGGCTATATCAGCTTCTACGCTTCTGGAAGACGCTTCTGCAAGACATTCAGCTGAAAGAGCATTTGTAAAGTCGGGTACTGATGTTGGACAAGACCTGGCGCACAAATTGTGTTTTAATGTGTCCAAAAGTTTTCATTTAGGTTAGGGTCAGAACTCTGTGCTGGCCACGGGAGTTCCTCCACACCAAACTCATTGCATGTCTTTTTAGACCTTGCACTGATTACAGGGACACACAATCCTCCTGAACTCAGTAATTTGCAGGGGGTCCTCACATCCTTTAGGCCTAGTGTATTGTTGCAACATCTCATAATCATTAACATTTTTTGAACAATAACACAATACTCACTGAGGTTCTGACATAGGTCTCCACTCCACAAAATGGTACAGTTTCTGTACATTTTTTAACCATTCCCGTAATATGGCTGTAGTGTTATCAATATTGTGGTCTGTTGCTGCCCTAGGACAAATGAAAAACACAATTTTATGTAGGACTGCACATTTCAAGTTGTATGGTGTCTTGATACTTTGCATTATGTTTACTATCCACATCCATTTATAGTCAGGTCCATAAATATTGGGACATCGACACAATTCTAACATTTTTGGCTCTATACACCACCACAATGTATTTGAAATGAAACTAACAAGATGTGCTTTAATTGCAGACTGTCAGCTTTAATTTGAGGGTATTTACATCCAAATCAGGTGAACGGTGTAGGAATTACAACAGTTTGCATATGTGCCTCCCACTTGTTAAGGGACCAAAGTAATGGGACAGAATAATAATCATAAATCAAACTTTCACTTTTTAATACTTGGTTGCAAATCCTTTGCAGTCAATTACAGCATGAAGTGTGGAACGCATAGACATCACCAGACGCTGGCTTTCATCCCTGGTGATGCTCTGCCAGGCCTCTACTGCAACTGTCTTCAGTTCCTGCTTGTTCTTGGAGCATTTTCCCTTCAGTTTTGTCTTCAGTAAGTGAAATGCATGCTCAATCAGATTCAGGTCAGGTGATTGACTTGGCCATTGCATAACATTCCACTTCTTTACCTTAAACTCTTTGGTTGCTTTTGCAGTATGCTTTGGGTCATTGTATATTTGACCTTAAAGCAACATGATTTCTTTTAGCTTTCTTTGGCAAATTGCTTTATATTATTCTTAAATCAGAAGTTTAATATGTTTATATGATGTCTTCTTTGATTCCTCCTTTTTATCCTCATCAATATATAAATTAACTTTTTAAGTTAAGCTATTGTTTTAATTACATATCTTATGTGTCTTTTCTGTGAATCTCTATGCAATGCGGGCAGATCATGACTTGTAGGAGGGGCCATCAGGGTGCTATACAATGCTTTCTGAAATATCACAGCACCCTACTTCAGAACTCCTCCCAAGAGCTCTCAGCCAGTTTCCCTTCACTTCTTGTCCCAGAGACCCAACAGGAATTGAGAATAAATCTCTCCAAACTGAGGAAAAACATCATTTTAGACCATTTTCAATGGAACAGGTGTTCCCATTGGAAGATTTCACAACACCTCTTCCTCTAGTGACAAATGGTGCATTTCTTTCTGATGACAATGATCACCTTGACAAATAGAAAGGGTGCATTTCCCCAGTGGGGACACAGACAGTAATAAAAAACCTGATAGGGGGTCTCGTCACTCTATCCAAGAACACAGTTGCGTGGGTAGATATTTGCCTTTTTTTTTTATTAAAAGACTATAGAAAATCAGAAGAATTTTTACATCTGAGAAATAGTGAGCAGTGAAGGTTTTCTAAAGGTGGACTACAGTGTAACACAGAATCACTAATATCTGTGTTTGGTTGTGAAATTTTCTGTACAGGTCCTATACTTCTAATACTGTAGATTAGGGACCCTCTGCAAAATGTTTTTCCAAGCTCTCCTAATTTATTCCGTGTTGCATTTTCCTGCCAAATGATGTTGACTGTGGTCAAAGTATCCCTTCTGATTATAGAGCTCTGTTCTGGTTACTGGAAGGGTGGTAGCAAACACATATGGAAACATTCATTATTTCTTTCATATAGAATGGATTGCTTAGCCATTGCTCAGAGTTGTCATCAATCATAAATTATCGTTCTATTGTGCATTCCTCTTAAATTGGTTTCACTTGGTAACAATGGACTTCCCACTAAATTGGTCAGAGCAAAGAACCAGGGTTGATGCAAACTGAGCTAGACACCGCAGATCACTCAGAGAAGAACCATTATGTTTATACCATAAAAATAATGGGTGAATACAAAAATACTCTCTATACAAAAATTAAAACATCAGTACTATCCAAATTGCTGTACAAATATGTAATGTACATTGTATGTTACATAGTTCTGCCAGCTGCAATCTGTTTGCTGTATCATACAGAGTGCAGTGGTCAAAAATATGTAATGTGCAGCTCAGCTCAGCAGTGTAGAGCTCAGGAGTATGTAGCATACACCCCATTGTATACAGTGCAGCATTCATGAGTACAGTCTAGTGGCCACTAATATGTAACATACGACAGTAAGAGATACAAACTATAGTGGCAAGGAATATATCATTTACAAGGTATGTGACAGCAGCACCCTAAAAGCTGTGACCACTGAACTGTGTAGGCTTTACTGGCCCCAGCGAATCTCCTCATGCCAAAATATCCCCCCTTGCTCAAGCACCCCTCCCCCATCCCCCACAATGTAGCTATTCACTGCTCACTTCTTTAACACTCTTTCAACTCTTACCTTTGCACCCATGTCAACATATCACCTCTGCACCCCCCATCCACTGTGAAATTCCCCACCCCCAACAGCTCATCCCTGCCCCATCCACATTTCACTTTTCCCCATTATCTATACCTGTCAGCATTGCCCCGCCCCCCCATTGTCCACAGCTCTCACTTCTGAACCCTCCTTTTCACATCCATAGCTGTCGCATTTGCACCCCTTTCCCCAACCATAGCTTGCATTCCACCCCCTCCTCTTTCTACAGGTCTCACATCTGCACCTTATCTCCATCCACAACTCTCACCTCTGTATCCCCTTCCTCCATCCACAGCTCTCACCTCTGCATCCTCCTCTCCATTCACAGCTCTGTACTCAGACTTCCCCCCACATCTACAGCTCTCACCTCTACATCTCTTACCTCATCCACAGCTCTCACTTTGTTGTGGCTGAGCTGACAGCTATCACATTGTGTACACAGTCAGTACTCTAATAGGTCTTGTTCCTTTGAGCTGATCTTTAAGAGGGGTGACCAAAATGGCCAATAGGAACACCAGCCCAAGAACACAAGGCAAGAACTAATGGTATGTGCAAGTGTCATTTGGTACTTACAGTACGATGTAGTGCTGAGTGCACTGTAATGCTGAATGTTAGCATAATTTGGGTATAGACAAATTTACTTTAAATAGTGACCTGCTGACACAGCATGCTCTGGCATCACTGTTTACCACCATCTGTTATGGATATATATTTTTAGTGTTAGGTGTTAGAAAAGAACTTTGTGACTTTGCAAGAATTATAGAATATTGTAGATCAGCACAGCAGTTATTGCATTTGGCAACTCTTTGTTTTATTATCCAATTATACCACTCTTTAGGATGTAACCTTCTGTTATCTCACAATACTGCCACAGTATAGACAAGGCAGGATTTTGGTGAAAGCACCTCAATAACCGCCAATCCCCCCCCCACACACACACCCCCATAGGTCATTTATAGAATACCAATCACAGCTCTTCATGGCTACACTGTTCTTTTTAATTGGTTGCAACAGCCTAACTCCAGACAAAAATTGTTGAAATTACTTTTGCATATACTTGAACAGTAAATACTCCTGCAATAAATGTATTGCTGTCCTGGAGTCCATTAGGTAGAGTTCTCTTTGTGTGCCAGTGACAGCAATGCAGAGAGTAAGGGCTGTGGTTTTCGCTAAAATTCAGAGGAAAATTTCTTAAATGAGGGCACAGTCAACAAATGGAAACTTCATTGTGTCTATCCCTACCCCACTCTGCCCAAAACCAAAGAAAAAGCTTTGCTTAGAGTTGGGGGTTTGCGTTTCTCTTTTGAGCTTTCTTTAGCTCATATAAATAAGATACTGTATATATTCACCAGCTAAAACAGGGCAGCCTGTTGCCCAAGAAATTTTACTGTCTGTCTGGGCTTATGTACTGTATATTATGGTTGGATGCCAAAAAATTATCCATTTTCATCTGATCACGTAATTACTCACACATTATACATGGAGAATTCAATTGCTGTGGTCTAATGATATGTCTCCACATATCAAAAGGCAAGGTGATAAATGTATTTGAATGATAACTGAATTTAAAAATGCAGCTGCCGTCCATATTGGACAAGAAAATGTAGCCTCGGTCCTGCAATAGTTTACAATATGGATTCTCTAATGTGCTGCTGTTCTGCAGATGAATTTCAGCAGGTGGAACGGGCGGTCTGTCTTGGCCTGGATTGCTGCCCATATTGGTGAAAAGAGTCCAAGAGGTAAGCATTGCCTTGCAAAACCCTTACTCACCCTCTTTAGTCATCCATGTACTGAAATATGAATGTGCGCTTTCAAAATGTTTCTGTGATTTTCCATGTTGTTCATTTTGCTCAGTTTAGTACACAACGTGATTACAGCACAACTCAATGTGTTTTGTTCTAGCACTAAAAATAAACTTTGCAAACTTCGCCATATATTTTTCAGACAGATAGTGAAGAGAGCTACTGTGTTCTACAAATGGAAATGGAGAGCCTCTGCAAATAAACAGATATTTCCTGTAACCTGGACATTCAGAAAACCAAGTCTTCTCTCTCTGCAAAAGATCTTTTGTGCTGTGGGCTGACTAAAAAAATGCTGCATTCTGTTGATTCAATAACTTGTGGTAAGGACATACGACAATAACGCAGATTAAATAGAAAAAAGGTTCATTTTGTTTTCTAAACGTAAGTCTCATGTAGGTCTCATTTTGATTGACATATATAGACAAATGATAAATTCTAAATACCAAAGTTATCATTAGAAAATGTTAAACTGTATGTAAACGTTACCAATATATTTCTCTTATTTGCTCCCTTTTGGTCTGTTAAATATACCATTGAAGGAGTTTTTAGCTGTTCAACAGGTGCAAAAAAGTAGGTATCCATCCCGTGAGAAATCATGTAACCTGATAACTTCCTGTATTCTCTGTCTCTGAATCCTTAATCAGTTGCCATTGTTCCCTGCTATCTCCTTGGACTACAAAACGCCTCTCTTTGTTATGGAGAAGAGATGGATCTGATATGTAGTCCTAACAATGTGTTATGTAGTCCTAACAATGTGTTATGTAGTCCAAATACATTAAAGTGATTGTAAAGGCTCAAGTTTTTTTTTACCTTCATACAATCTATGTATGAAGGTAAAAAACCTTCACTGTGCAACAGCCTCCCCCCAACCTCCCCTTATACTTACCTGCGCTAAATTTTG